TTATATCCTGTTTATGTTTCACCTAGTACATGCAGTATTGATTTTACAGATGATTTATATTTCTGCTTATCTGTTTAAAACTCACTCTTTTCTTTTTCTTCATAGGTCCAGACCTGTTGTAAACATAAATGCTGAAATCAATATCCATCCTCCGGATGTTATTGATTTGGAGAAAAAGACGTGTGTTAAGTATGATGGTACCCCAGTGGCCTGGTAAGACACTTAAAAGTATTCATTTCCAATATTTCTTTGTATGATTCACTTTCCTCTTAGAATCTGTTAAGATTAGAGTCAGATTTCTTATGTAGTTATATGTATTCATTTCTGTTTGCATTTACTCAAATGGCAACTTCAAAATAGATTTTTATGGATCAGGTGGGAAAGTTATGCTATACAAATATTTACCATATCATACGTCCTCTATTAGCAGCCCATTTCTAATCAAAGTGCACCTAAACCAAACAATGCATTTATTGTATTCTTGATCATTGAACTACTTTAAAATACTTTATTTTCTCTTGCAACTAATTTTTGCTATTATTGCTGAAGGAATGATTCAGTGAGAATAAAATCCAGCGAATATACCCTTTTCCTACATTATACATTCAACTTGTCAAAAATCAGTGAGATAAATTCCATGCAAAACGCTCAAAAAGTCTTTAATTCCAGCTAAAATAAAGTATTTTACAGTATGTTTTTTTTATGTAAATGCATGTTCTACTAATAGAGCAAACATGGTAATCCAATTTTGGGGGTATTTTGTTCAAATTTGTTGTAAAATACACATATCTCATTGGTCGAGGTGAAAAAGTAAAAAGTATTTATATAGTGAATACACAGCTTTGTTAATTGGGCAGTTGCAAGAATACAAAATCTTGGATAGTGGAAGTAATTGAATGTTAAAACTTCACCTGATCACAAAGTTGCCTCAGATTGGTTCACCAAACACACCTGGTCTCTGAGGCTGAATAGAGAGATGTGAGATAACGAGAAAACAATACAGATGCTATAAATAACGACAGACCACTCTCAATGAAATTAGTTTGTATGACAAAAAATAAAATATTTTTTGAAATAATCAATTCCACATACAGTAAAATACTTTATTTTAGCTGGAATTAATTTTCACTTGAAAAGATTTTTGAGTGTTTTGTATGTAAATTATTTTCACTGATTTTTGAAAAGTTGAATGTAAAATATAGAAAAAAAGGTATACCGGTATTCGTTGGATTTTATTTTCACTGAATCATTCCTTCAGCGAAAATAGTGAAAATTAATTAAGCGAAATAACATATTTCATCGTAGCTTTTGTGGGTATTTATACAAATTTATGTTCATGCTATTTCATAAATTTTTAATTTTTCCATTTTTTAAATCAATCTAGGGGTAATTCAAATGCCATAGTGTAATTTTCACGCCTGGATGATGATTTTTTTTTCACCCAAAGGCAGACATGTATTTCAAAAAATATTTTAAGATTTTTAAATTTTTGAACTCCATAATTTTTTTGTCTATGATTTGAGTGCAATTTTCTTACCACAGAATTTCTACTTATAATTATTTCAGAATATTATCTAATCTGTATAATAATTTTTGAGAAAAGGGGATATTTGAATATTTGTGAAAGGAAGCAAATGTACTATTAAGTTGATGGTAAATAGTTGAGTTAAATTTGTGAAAAAATACATGCATAACCACTAAGATACCTTTTTCTAAGTGAGAAAGTTACTCTGTGTTTATTTGTTTGTTTGATATTCACTTCAATAATTTATGGACATATCGACTTTGAAATAACCCAGTCACTAGAGGGCGCTATAGCTGCATTTCATGACTGACTCGTATACTGTTTCATCACAGATTTTATTAATACATAGCATTTTAAGTATCGTTCACATTTATTACACCTGCATAACGCATTTTGGGGAAAAAATCTCTTAATCACAGGACCTGCAGTCAATAAAAAGCTTTAACCTATTGTCCTATATTAATAAATAAATTACAGTTAAATACATGTACATTAACTTTGCAAAATGTTGCACCAATATTGATTTTGGTGAAAACAAATTATGACTTCAAAAATTTAATAATATTTGATAAAACATTGACAGCAGTGAATGTTTTAAAAGTAGGTGATAAACGGTTATTGCAAGATATGTTAACTGTATACCATTAAAATACAGAATGACATCATTTATATTGGAATTCTAATGGAAGGCCCCCTACAGCTAGCAATGATTGAAAGATCACCAGATTTAAAAGACCATAAGTATGCATATAAAATAAAATGAGTTTTATGTTACCTAACAGGCCGTCATCTAACTATGTTTTGTTGTGTAATTTTTCATGATTAGGGAAATTTATAGCAATCGCATGAGTTGGAAAATAACTGTTATAGTATACATTCCCCAAGACATGATGGAAATGTATGTTATAAAAACCTTCGAAAAAAATGCGCAAAAATAGGCACAAAGAATTGTGAGCTGATCTCGTCGTCCTCCCCAATGCAACATTGTGTGCCGCCACCACTAGTTTCACAGTCTACACTCCCAATTTCTACGTGACTTTTGAACAAAGGAAATCTAGTTGCAGTGTATCACCAATTTAAAGAAGAGTCTAGTGTCTATTAAGACTGCTTAATAAATCACTTCCATATTATGGTTCCTATTTTTTAATGCTGACTTTGACACTTGATTCTCAAGGGGGCCGTTAAATACAGGATCATCCCAATGACCTGGAAGTTACCCATTAATTAGTCTAGCTTTCTTTGTCCTACTCTACAATGTATTCATTATTATCTCCATTTCCTGTAACATATAGTTTATCAATGTGTGACTTACTAAAAATATAACCACAGAGTGGATTAATGTACTTAATATATAGTTGATTCAGAAAAAAAAGAAAATAAATAAATTATTTTTTTTAAAGTTTCGATAATTTTTGCCCAAAATAATGTTGAAATGATAGATAAATAATTTCAATATTAAAGTATAAGCATAAAATTATTCAAGAAAATCTAGTTAATTGGTGGTTAGTATATCTGTTTTATACATCACATTAACCTCTTTTTCTATTTTTTGCCAGCTTTACTTTAACTGTGTGCTTCAAATTTTCTGGTGTCCATGTGCCATCAAGTATAGGTAAGTTGATGTCAACTACTGTAAAAGGATTAATTATTCACTGGGTTTTAATTTTGCTTATTTTGCTGACTGGAAAATGCGCTAAACTGAAACCCAGTGAATATGTAAAATTTAGCATAGAACACATTATCTAAATTAGTCATTTTACAGAATTATGTCTACATTTCATAAAGGTACCTTTGAGGGCAGTATACAGTGTTCTATGTAAGGTACTGTCATCAGTGAAAAGACCGAGTTTCTCAGTGAAATAAAGACATTTTTTTTTTCAATTTATTTCATCTATTTTTTAATTCAAATACACCAAGGTGTTTTTTTGCAATGAAATCGCGTTATTTCTTAGTGCAAAATTAGCTGCATGGAATACTGAGTGCATACATGAGTAGTTATCAAAAGTATGGACTGCAAATTGAGTATAGATTATCATCTTATTTAGGTCTGCACTGTTGTTTCCTATTGTCTCAACTGGCCCAACAAACGGATATATTGGTAATGCCATTTAAATCCACACAGACACCACTGCTTTCCTTTTTTCCATCTCTTGTAATTTTTATAATAATTTTTATTTAGCTATTGTTTACATTGTGTTTCCAACCTATGGATACTATCACAATAGCTACACAGACATACTGTAAAAGGAGTAATTATTCACTGGGTTTTAATTTTGCTTATTTCGCTGACTGGAAAATGTGCTAAATTAAAACGCAGTGAATATGTAAAATTTAGCATAGAACACAATCATTATCTAAATGATAAAACCATGAATTTCAAACCCACTGGATATGCCTGAAATGTTAAATCAGCAAAATTTAAACCCAGTGAAAATTAGTCATTTTACAGTAGTGCCATTACTTTGGCAAAGTTACACTTGATATTCAGCCCACTCACCTCATTCTGTTATTGTCCTCTTATTTCATTTCATTATAAAACCAGTGGTTTCAACCTGGTCATCAGATGATCATTTCAGACCCAATCACATCCATGATATTATGCATCCTGATTTTTATCTCTATAAATTTCTCCTCCCTTTATCATTACTAAATGACGCATCCTGTACTGCTAATGAAATCCTTTGTTCTTCTTATCTGATTGCTTCCCACCACTGCTATTGTCTGAAAGCTCTCTTGATTGCCTAAACCATTGTGTAGTGGTTTCACTGTTCTTTCTATTTCTTAAATAAAGCTGATAGATCGATAAATGAATGTGAGAGATTCCCTCTTTGTTATGGCTAAGGGTGAAG